GTCACCCACTCCCAATTCGGCACACCCCTCACACGTTTCGTGGCTCCATAGGGAGCTCCACCGAAGGCCCAGTGCCCGCGCCCGCATGCGTTCAGCACACCCATTTCGGCAGCCCTCACGCGTTCCGTGGCCCCATAGGGAGCTCCGCCGAAGGTCCCAGTGGCTGTGCCCGCATGCGTCCCGCACACCCATTTCGGCACACCCCTCACACGTTTCGTGGCCCCATAGGGAGCTCCACCGAAGGCCCCAGTGGGTGTGCCCGCATGCGTCCCGCATACTCATTTCGGCACACCCCTCGTACGTTTCGTGGCCCCGTAGGGGGCTCCACCGAGAAGATAGTCACAATTGCAGTATTCACAATATACATATAACGGCGCACCGGGTCCGGGGGCCCAGGGCCGGGACCCCGACCGCAAATGTGCACCCCGGGGGCCCCGGAGGCTCGTCGGGGCTTGCCGGAGGCCTCCCCGGTCAGACAAGACGGCCCCAGAAACGCCCAAGACGGCCCAAGTAACTTCCAAGAGGCCTCCAAGAGGGCTCCGAGATGCTGAAGATGGCCTCCAGACGTCCAAGGACGCCCCCCAAGACGCCCCAAGAAGCCTCCAACATGCGTCCCAAGAGGGCCCCTAGACGCAAAAATTGGCCCATTCCCTTCGTAAAACGTACATTTTTCACAAAGTTGCCTTTTGGGCTTTCCGACATTACAGGACGGCCCAAGAGGCGCCCAAGACCGCCCCAAGACGGCCCAAGAAGCTCCCAAGAGTGCCCCAGGACAGCCCAAGGGGGCCCCAAAACGGCCCAAGAGGCGCCCAAGATGGCCCAAGAGGGCCCCAAGACGGGCCCAAGAGGGGGCCCAGAGGGGGACCACGAACCGCAAGCTCGAGCCTTCCGCCCCAAGAGGCCGCCAGCAGGCCCCAAGGAGGCCCCTCAAGAGGCCCCAGGAGACCCCAGACGTCCAAGGACGCCCCCAAGAGGCTCCAAGAAGCCTCCAACATGCGTCCCAAGAGGGCCCTAGACGCAAGAATTGGCCCATTCCCTTCGTAAAACGTACATTTTTAACAAAGTCGCCTTTTGGGCTTTCCGACGTTACAGGACGGCCCAAGAGGCGCCCAAGACCGCCCCAAGACGGCCCAAGAAGTTTCCCAGAGGGCCCCAGGACAGCCCACGAGGGCCCCAAGACGGCCCAAGAGGCGCCCAAGATGGCCCAAGAGGGCCCCAAGACGGGCCCAAGAGGGGGCCCAGAGGGGGACCACGAACCGCAAGCTCGAGCCTTCGCCCCAAGAGGCCGCCAGGAGGCCCCCAGGAGGCCCCTCAAGAGGCCCCAGGAGACCCCAGACGTCCAAGGACGCCCCCAAGAGGCACCAAGAAGCCTCCAACATGCGTCCCAAGAGGGGCACTAGATGCAAAAATTGGCCCATTCCCTTCGTAAAACGTACATTTTCAACAAAGTTGTCTTTTGGGCTTTCCGACGTTACAGGACGGCCCAAGAGGCGCCCAAGACCGCCCCAAGACGGCCCAAGAAGCTTCCAAGAGGGCCCCAGGACAGCCCAAGAGGGCCCCAAGACGGCCCAAGAGGCGCCCAAGATGGCCCAAGAGGGCCCCAAGACAGGCCCAAGAGGGCGCCCCGAGAGAACCCCACGTGGGCCCAAGGAGGCCCAAGAGGGACCCAAGAGAGCCCCAAGAGAGCCCCAACATCGGTCTCGCGGAAGAGCTCTCGCGTGACCGATGTTGGGCCCCTCTGTGGGCTCCTCTTGGAGCTCCGAGAGGAGCCAAAGATGGCCCCACGAGGGCCCCGACGAGACCCCAAGAGGGCCCAAGCAGGCCCAAGAGGGACCCATGAGAGCCCCAGCATAGGTCACGCGGAAGAGCCCTCGCGTGACCGATGTTGAGCCCCTCTTTGGGCTCCTCTTGGAGCTCCAAGAGGGGCCCAAGATGGCCCCACGAGGGCCCCGAGGGAGCCCCACGTGGGCCCAAGGAGGCCCAAGGAACCCCAAGATGGCCCCAACATCGGTCACGCGGAAGAGCTCTCGCGTGACCGATGTTGGGCCCCCTCTTTGGGCTCCTCTTGGTGCTCCGAGAGGAGCCCAAGTTGGCCCCACGAGGGCCCCGTCGAGACCCCAAGAGGGCCCAAGGAGGCCCAATAGGGCCCCAAGAGGGCCCCAACATCGGTCACGCGAAAGAGCTCTCGCGTGACCGATGCTGGGCCCCTCTGTGGGCTCCTCTTGGAGCTCCGAGAGGAGCCCAAGGTGGCCCCACGAGGGCCCAGACGAGCCCCAAGAGAGCCCAAGAGGGCCCCAAGAGCGCCCCAACATCTCCTCTCCTTCCTCCTCCTCCCTCCTCTGCATCTTCCTCCTCCTCCTCCTTCTCATCCTCCTCCTCCTCCTCCTCCTCCTCCTTCTCCTCTCCAGGGGAATGAAAACCAGAGGATAGCTCACGGAGAGCCCAAGCACCCTCTTGTTGCATCCATCTTTGCTTCCAGATGGAGCCCAAGAAGGCCCCAAGGAGGCCCCTCAAGAGGCCCCCAGGAGACCCCTGACGTCCTAAGGGTCGCCCCCAAAGACGCTGCGCGTTCACCGATTTTCTTTCTCGCAGTCGATTCCTGGGTCTGTGATCGACAGAAAACGAAGCGCGCGCGAGCGCGCGAGCGGGGTTTCTAGTATATATATATATATATATATATATATATATATATGCGACCATATGTATGTAGCAGCGCACATGCATATACACCTGTCTTAAATACACCCCATGTCCGAGGCCAGATTCTGCGTTCTCCCTCCTGGCGAGTGTATTCTCTGGATGTGTTATGCATGACCGTCCATGTGTTATGCATGACCATACCAGCCAGGCCAATATTGACCTCCCCACTCATCTATGACAGATGAAATTTCGCAGTGCACATGCGCGGATCTGAAAAGTGTTGTTCCTCAGAAGCCGATGATAAAAAAAGAATGCGGTGCGGGACGCATGCGCGTGCCGCCGCACGCGCCCTGTCAAAATCACGCACAAACTTTGGATCGATTGACAGTTTCAATGACGCTGGTAGCCAACATATATCGAAGCGTGGGTGCTTCAACGAAAATATGCCAGGTGCCTGCGCGCACTGCCTCAAGTCACGAGGCAGCAGTCGGTTCCCAGGTTCCCAGCCAGCCTGTCGCACGACGCCGTGCGAGCCACGCGCGCGCGCCTGCCAGGAGCTGTCCACACCCACCGCGCGCCCACCAATTCTTCCAAATAATGCCACACGGGCCACACGCGCGCGCCTCCGCGCGCGCACACCCCAAAGCCGTCCAGCGTCCATGTCGACGCAGAGGGCTCAAGCACGTACGACAACATGTTCCCCGAGCAGTGCTTGCACCTGGGGACTCCTACTTTTCGTATACAAAAAAACGAGACCTTGCCGTCGCCAGCGTTTTTCGTCACGAGTTTGGTTGCGCGAGGCTCGCATGCGTCATTGTTTTGCATTGCCTTGCATTTGTTTGAAATTTCTTCGCACTGCATCTCATTGAATATGGTTCTATAGTGTTGCTTTGCTATGCGTTCATTTGCATCACACTGCATTGTGTCGCTTTGCTTCGCAGTGCGCTGCATAGTTCTCCATTGTCTTGCATTGCCTTGCATCGCTTTGCGTTGCGTTGCATTGCTTGGCATTGCTTGGCATCGCTTCGCGCTGTTTCGCATGGGTTTCCATTGCCTTGCACGTTATTGCAGCGCACTGTATTGTTATACGTCGCATTGCATTGCATGGCTTTGCGTGGCACTGCTTCGCATCGCATTGCATCGCATTGGGTTGTGTTGCGTGGCAATGAGTTGCATGGCATTGCATTGCATGGCATTGCATGACATTGCGTTGCACCACATAGATTGCACCACATGGACTGCACCACATTGATTGGATTACTTTGGTTGCACCAACTAGACTGCACCGCGTAGACTGCAAGAAACCATTGTTTGAGGTTCATGCAGGGGAACGTGTATGTTCAAGAATGCGCTGGAAAATGCGAATTTCTGCGAGCGCGCACTTGCATCATCGTCGTCGCCGTCATCATCACCTCCGCGGTCGTCATCGTCATGGTCGATGTCCTCACCTTGGTCAGGGTTCTGCGCGCGCACTTCCTCGTCACCCTTACCGACACCATCACCATCGCAAGCGTCATAGCTGCCACAGTCGCTATCTCACAAGCAGCTTTGGCACCATCACCATCATGGTCATCATCATGGTCATCATCATCATCATGGTCATCATCATCATCATCATCATCATCATCATCATCATCATCATTGTCATCATCAGCAGCATCATCACCATCGCCAGCGTCATAGCTGCCACCGCCACTATCTCACAAACAGCTTCGTCACCATCGCCATCTTCGTATGCATCGTCCCTGTCGCCGCCCGCTTGAGTTCTGCCAGCAGCGTGCGGGTGGGTGGCGGGACACTTGCACGAGCATTGGAGTTGGCCACGCGCGGACGCGGTCAGACTCGAGGAGGAAGAGGAGGAGGAGGAGAAGGAGGAGGAGGAGGAGGAGGAGGAGGGGGAGGAAGAGGAGGAGGATGGGGAGGAGGAAGGTGAGGATGAGGTCAATTGCACGAGGCAGGTTGCACCACTTATCGATCGCACCGCTTGCGCTGCGCATCGAGGCTGTCCGTGCCGACTGCCTGGGGCCCACGCTGGACGGGGCTCGCGTGCCCCTGGAGCTACCGTGCCGTTTTTTAATGCTCCGCGTGCGGATCCTGTATAAAAAATGCAGGGATTGAGTATTAAACACAAGGATGAGTTCATTCATAGATTCATGCATAGATTAACCCTGTTTGAAACATCTTATATGTTTATATGATTTGTTGTTTCTATCTATAAAAACAATTCAAAGCAATAGTAATATTATTCACAGTAGTAATAATAATGATACTATTAACAATAATAATAATAATAGTAATACAATCATCAAAACTATGTTAAACAAAAAAATGCCCTGTGCTGCCAGCAGCCCCCCCGTCCCAGGAGGTGACGGATGCGCACATATGGTCGGACCCCCACTGCGCGCGCCTCGACGTGGTGCACCCGGAGCTGAGGGGGGGCGGGGGCGGGGCCGACGGTGAAGGCGTGCTTCTTTTCGGGGGCGGAAAAGAGGGGGGTGATGACTAGGGGTGGGTGGATTTCATGGCGCGGGCCATGATTTTTCCTCAGATTTCATGGCGGCTCTTCTTATTTCATTACGTCCCAGGCCCTCCCGCTGGGCCGCGCACGTGCCGCCGGTCATGATTTGCACCCCCCCTCTTGGACACCCCCCTCCTGGCCGCTCCCGATCTTTGATGCAGAGGCGACGTGTCCAAGGAGCATCGCGGGGGCTAGAGGAACAGAGCGCGGGGGGGGCAGGGGCGAAGGGCAAAACGCGGACGAGGGGGAGGACCAGGAGGGATGAGGAGGGAAGAAAAGGCAGGGGAGGGCCGAGGACTTCCAACTTCCCTCTTCTCGCGTCTACAGTCGGGGCTCTGAATAAGGAACCCTTTTCGTTGGGGAGGGGCTCCGTGTTCCTCATCCTTGGATTTTCGATGGGAAGTCGAAGTTGAACTTCTGGAGAAAAGGGGCCTCGCTCCTTATTTTGTAGGGTTCCTTAGGTCGACGCCCCGACGGTACCGTCGAAGTCAGCCCGATCAATGCCTAGGGAGGCTGCTGCTGCGCCGCCGCCGGGAGGCGAGGCCCTGGCAGAGGTGACCCCCGGAACCGCCCGACCTCCCCTTCCTGCCACCTCGTGCTTCAAGAGGGAAAAGAAACACAGACACAATGAATCGTCGATTCCCCCGAAGAGGTGCGAAAATATGGGAAATCGGGGGGGAACCAGTGACAATATAGGAGAATATAGGGGGTCCTGGGATTCGTGCGCGTGTGTGAATTTTTGGGGTGTTTGTGGGCCCCTTCAGTGCTTCCCTCCTGCCCCTTCCTCTCTCTCGCCCACCCGCCCCTCGGCCACCCGACTCCCCCCCCCAAAGCGCCATCGCGCTCCCAGGCCCCCGACGTCATGATTTTGTGACAACGTCGACCCTACCGTGTCAATTTTTTCATACTGGGCGTTTTCGCCTTTCTTCGGGTCCTGGGACCCTCACAGGTCGATCCCGCTCGAAAAATGACGCAGAAAAATGGGGTCCGGGGCTCCAGTCTCGATTTTCCACGATGTCGCAATTGTTTCGCAACGTCGGATTTCAATGTAGACCCACTCGTCCAGACCGGCTTTTCATCCTGAGCCGTTTTTTGACCGCCCCGCGGCCCGACAAGGGCCGGTGGAGGCCGAACATGACGAAAGAGACCTTCCGTCACGTTCCCAGAGATCCGACGTCGTGATTTTTTCAATACGCGGTCCCCCGAAGTCTCGACCCATTCCCCAGGACCGGTTTCTCATCCTGAGTCGTTTTTTTGACGGTCCCGGGGCCCGGCGAGGGCCCCTAGAGGCGACGTGTCCAAGGAGCATCGCGGGGGCTAGAGGAACAGAGCGTGGGGGGTGCAGGGGCGAAGAGCAAAACGCGGACGAGGGGGAGGACCAGGAGGGATGAGGAGGGAAGAAAAGGCAGGGGAGGGCCGAGGACTTCCAACTTCCCTCTTCTCGCGTCTACAGTCGGGGCTCTGAATAAGGAACCGTTTTCGTTGGGGAGGGGCTCCGTGATCCTTCATTGTTTCACATTTGGCCCCAGGTTATCCTTGGATTTTCGATGGGAAGTCGAAGTTGAACTTCTGGAGAGAAGGGGCCTCGTTCCTTATTTTGTAAGGAGCGACGCCCCGACGGTACCGTCCAAGTCAGCCCTATCAATGCCTAGGGAGGCTGCTGCTGCGCTGCCGCCGGGAGGCGAGGCCCTGGCAGAGGTGACCCCCAGAACCGCCCGACCTCCCCTGCCTGCCACCTCGTGCTTCAAGAGGGAAAAGAAACACAGACACAATGAATCGTCGATTCCCCCGAAGAGGTGCGAAAATATAGGAAATCGGGGGGGAACCAGTGACAATATAGGAGAACATAGGGGGTCCTGGGATTCGTGCGCGTGTGTGAAGTTTTTGGGGTGTTTGTGGGCCCCTTCAGTGCTTCCCTCCTGCCCCTTCCTCTCTCTCGCCCACCCGCCCCTCGGCCACCCGACTCCCCCCCCCCAAAGCGCCATCGCGCTCCCAGGCCCCCGACGTCATGATTTTGTGACAACGTCGACCCTACCGTGTCAATTTTTTCATACTGGGCGTTTTCGCCTTTCTTCGGGCCCTGGGACCCTCACAGGTCGATCCCGCTCGAAAAATGACGCAGAAAAATGGGGTCCGGGGCTCCAGTCTCGATTTTCCACGATGTCGCAATTGTTTCGCAACGTCGGATTTCAATGTAGACCCACTCGTCCAGACCGGCTTTTCATCCTGAGCCGTTTTTTGACCGCCCCGCGGCCCGACAAGGGCCGGTGGAGGCCGAACATGACGAAAGAGACCTTCCGTCACGTTCCCAGAGATCCGACGTCGTGATTTTTTCAATACGCGGTCGCCCGAAGTCTCGACCCATTCCCCAGGACCGGTTTCTCATCCTGAGTCGTTTTTTTGACGGTCCCGGGGCCCGGCGAGGGCCCCTAGAGGCCGAAAATCGAGAAAAACCTTCGTCTTGTTTTTTTCAATACGTTGGAGGTCTGGCCAGGTTTTTTCCTTGACCCGGGCGGGTCTGGGTCGAGGGGCCCTCGGTTGGGCCCCGCCCGCCGGATCCGGTCGCGACCGCCTAGCGTGCGCGCGACTTGCCTTCAGGGCGTGCGCCTGGCGGCCAAGAGGCCGAGTGGCCGGGCGCGCAGGCGCGACCCCGCCACGGACCGGGCCACGGCGTGCAGGGGCCCTGGTGTCGGGGACGGAAAAAAGGGGGGTGATGACTAATGGAGGATGACGATTAAGAAATGACCGGGGGTCGTGTTCACACCGGCCGCGGGCTGGAAAACTATTTTTGTATTGCTCTCCTTCAGTCAGAAAATTGTGCAGAAATAGCAGGAAGCTATTTTCTGAATCGTTCTCTCACAATTTTTTTTAATCGTCATCCCGAATTAGGGGGAGGGGATATCATGGCGGGGGCCATGATATTTCCCCAGATTTCATGGCGCCTCTTCTCATTACATGACGTCCCTGGCCCCCCCGCTGGGCCGCGCACATGCCGCCGGTCATGAGTTGCACCCCCCCCTCCTTGACACCTCCCTCTTTGCCGCCCCCGATGGTGGAGACCTTCGCGGCCAGACCGCTCGACTACACGTCAGAGTGACCCTTCGCCGGATTGACCGTTGGTCCCAGACCTCTTCGCGTCGTGGAAAAATCACGACGGGAGGTTTGGGACCATTTTCGGCCTCCGGGGGCCCTCACCAGGCCTCGGGACCCTCAAAAAACGACTCAGGATGAAAAGCTGGTCCGGGGGAAGGGGTCCAGACCTTCCTGGGATTCGACGTTGTGAAAAAAATCACGACGTCGGGTGTCTGGGGTGCGGATTCATCGTGGCCCCCCCGATCGCCTTCGAGCACCATGCGATAGCAGCGGCTTGCGCGCCTGGTTTTGGCCTCCTCGCGCCCCCCCTGAAGCCGCGCACCAAGTGTCACTCTCGCCCAGGGTCGCTCTTGAAACGCCCGGCAAAGGAGTTTCGGGGGCCATCCCCGCCTCCTTCCCCAGACAACCTCGGGTCATGGAGAAGTCATGACGTTTTTTTTTCTTTGTTCCCAACCCTCCTGCGTTGGGTACTCGTTTTGAATAGAGCACTGCGGTCTCCACCTCCCTTCCCGCCCCCCGCTCTTCCCTCCTCCTCTCCTCTCTTGCTTGCCTTCTCCTCCTCTCTTCGCTCCTCCTCTTCTCTTCTCTTGCCTTTCACGTCATCCCTGGCGGGCCGCGATCTGCGGAACTGTCACCACTTTCGAGGGCTGCTGGTGGGTCCAGCGGAGTGAGGCACCACGGGGACTCAGATTAGACCTCGCCATCCCTGGGGGGGGGGCTGCGATCTGTGAAACTGTTGCCACTTTCGAGGGCTGCTGGTGGGTCCAGCGGAGTGAGGCACCACGGGGACTCAGATTAGACCTCGCCATCTCTGGGGGGGGGCTGCGATTTGTGAAACTCTCACCACTTTCGAGGGCTGCTGGTGGGTCCAGCGGAGTGAGGCACCACGGGGACTCAGATTAGACCTCGCCATCTCTGGGGGGCTGCGATCTGTGAAACTGTCGCCACTTTCGAGGGAATGGTGGTGGGGTCCTGCGGAGTGAGGCACACCGCGGACTCAAATTAGACCTCGCCATCCCTGGGGGGCTGCGATCTGTGAATCTGTCGCCACTTTCGAGGGCTGCTGGGGGGCCCAGCACAGTGGGCACCCGCGGCGGATTCAAATGAGACCTCGCCAATCCTGGGGGGCTGCGATGTGTGAAACTGTCGCCACTTTCGAGGCCTGCTGGGGAGCCCAGCGCAGTGTGGCACCGCTGGGACTCAGATTAGACTCGACACCTGGGGCGGCTGGGATCTGTGAACTGTCGCCACTTTCGGAGGCTGCTGGTGGGGTTGGCCAGCGGAGTGAGGCATCCACCGGACTCAGATTTCTGACAACGAGCATGCTCGCCCTTTGAGGCTTCTTGGTGCCCTTGCTTTTTTTTTCAATTGTATTTTTTTTTTTTTTCTTTTTTATCTTTTATATTTGTTTTCTTTATTTTCTTTTTTTTTTTTGTCTCTCTCTTCGTGCTCGTCGGCGCTGCGACTCGAGCTGGCGGTCGTCCTTCGGACCCGCAGAAACATCTGCTGAGCACGATGAGCTAGGGGAACTACAGGAAAGAAGTGCAGGAAACGGAGGCCGGTCATGCACTCGCCGATACCTCGTTGCTCTGTCATCGTCTTTGCTGTTGCATGATCCTTATCTGGCCTGCCGGCGCCGCGGATCGAGCTGGCGGTCGCCCTTCGGGCCCGCGGGAACATCTTCTGAGACAAGTGGACGCCGCCGCCTTACTTGCAGGCAGCGCATTGCATTCGCGGACAGCAGCATGGCAGACCGCAGTGAGATCCTCAGTCGCGTGGTGTTGCCAAGCCTGGTGGAGACGCGCGTGATCGACCTGAAGTCCCAATCGCGCGTGCGCTGTGCTTGCGTGGCGTTCAGGCACGCGCGTGATGCTGCTCGCTCCGCGTTCAACCAGTACGTCGCCAGTGCAACTTTGGACGATGGACAACCGATTGATGATACGCGACCCCGGCCTTGAGTTTCTTTCCCGCGGGCCGCCCGCAGACCTGGCGGCGCGCCTGCGAGCGTTCAGCTTCCGCGCTGAAATGCGCGGGAAGGAGGCGGAGAAGCTAGCGGGCGAGCTACACCTCGCTCGTTCCTTGCACTCTAAATACGTTTTATCATGTGGAACTCTGCGACGACATGGCGCAGGCAGCGCTGCGGGTTTAGCTCGCGCTTGGAAAACGCGGCAGTCTTCTGTCTCCTCCCGCCACTTTCATCGTCGTCCTATTCCCCGCCTCACCTTCTCCATGCATGTTGCTGCTTCCGCGATGGCCTTTCGCCCCCCCGCCTTCCATTCCATCCCTCTCCTACCCCTCGTTCCCGTACCCGTTATTCTTCGATCCTGGGGCCTCAAGCCTCGTTCTGTCGATCGTCGTCCTGTGAATCGTGCAACGCATGCGCATCCCATGTAGCTTGCGCAGCAAATCGCCGCGTCTACACTGTCGTTGTTCCTGCTAATGTTGGCATATTCCTCTTGCCATTTGATGCACGTGGGTTGGGTACGTCGCAGGGTAATGTTTGGCCTCTGGTGGCCCTTACATCGGGCCTCGGGACCGCCAAATAACGGTTCAGGATGAAATGACGAACCAACAACACACACCCATACCCATAGGGGGTCGGAGAGGGCTATGGGTGCGTGTTGTCGGATTGGGGTCCCCGTTCGAGCGGGAGCGCTCCCCAGGGTCCGACAGCCCGCACCCATACCCATGGCCAGTCCTCCTCCCAACGACCCCCCTATGGGTATGGGTGTGCGTTGTTCGTTCGTCATGAAAAGCTAGTCCCAGGGAAATGGGGGGGGGAGGAGGAGGAGGAGGAGGAGGAGGAGGCTAGGAGGAGGAGGAGGCAGGAGGAGGGGAGGAGGAGGAGCAGGAGGGGGAGGAGAGGGGTAGGGGGCGAGGAGGAGGAGGCAGGAGAGGAGGAGGAGGAGGAGGAGGGGAAGAGGATTGGTGGAGGAGGAGGTGTTGGAAAAGCAGATGCGGAGGAGGTGGGAGGTGAAGAGGCCAGTCCCCAGGATCAGACCTCTGGGCCGAGGCCTCATGGGGCCGACGCTGCGCAAAGTGTCCTGGCGTCGGGGGTTCGGGTCATAGGGAGAGGGTGTGGCGACTGGAGGCCGCCACCAGGCGATTTTCGGGCTCCAGGGGGGGCCCTCCCATCAGGAGGGAAAAATACACACAGACACAAGGTAATCGTCGACCCCCAGGAAAATATTCGAAAATATGGGAAGTGGGGGGGAAGATGGAAATCAAACAAATATGGAAAACTATGGGGAATCGTTTTATTTGTGTGTATTTATTTGTGTGTCCAAGGGCCCCTTTATTCCAGACCTCCGCCGGTCCTCGGGAAGGGGTTCGCATCACCAGGGTGCCACGTCTGGAAACACGGCGACGCCGGATGCGAACGAGGTCTATGTCGGGCGTGTCCCCCTACAGGGGAACTTTCGACGAAAAAATAAAAATACTCAAAAAATCCCCCAAAAAGGTCAACAAATATTCAAAAAATAGTCCCCAGACCATTTTTGTTTATTTTTTTGTTTATTTTGGGGGTATTTTTATTTTTCGTCGAAAATCCCCCTGTAGGGGGACAGGCCCGACATAAAACTAGGTCACCAACAGGGGCGCGAAGATGATCGCGCTTCGCGCGTCGCGGCCCAGGCCGAACACCCGTCATCTTCAAAGGTGGCCCCCACGAGGGCGCGAACACAACAGCGCAGCTTCTGGCGCGATGCACGAAGGCTGGTGGCCTCGGGGAGGAGGTCGCCTCCGGCCCATCCCGCCGCCGACTCTGGGTCGTGAACAAGCGGCGAGCCTTTTGGGGACCTTCGGGGGGGCTCTTGAGAGCCTATTTGGGGCCTGCTGGCGGTCTTGGGGGACATATGGAAGCAGGGATGAACGGCTCCAATTCTAATTTCGAGCGCCGCCTCTGAGGCTCCTGTTGGGGGCCGCCTGCCCTACGCGGGACATCGAGACCGTCTTGGAGCGATTCGGGGGGCCTCTTGGGCCATCTTCGACGCGCAGACCGACAAGCTAATCATGCTAGAACTTTGGCCTCCTGGGGCGCCCCCAAGGCCTCCAAGACAGCACCAGCGGGTCCCGAGAGGGCCCCAGCGTGGACCCCTGGGACCAATCTTGTGGCATGTTGGAGGTTGCGGCTTCCAACCACTGCGTCCATTGCGACCCCATCGATCCGATCCGATATCGATTTCAGGCGTTCCGATTCGGTTGGGTCTGGTATTTCAGAGACCCGACGCGGCCTGGTGTTTGCACGACGCCCGTTGTAATCCTTGCGCGGCCGATCCAGTCCGATTCCGACTCCGTGCCGATGCCGTTCGCTCCGATGCATTTTCCGATTCGATCAGAATTCCTTGTTCGAGCATGGTTGGTCTTGAACAACGCCCCGGGGCCTTTGGAAAATGAGGAGGGTAAAAACATACAGACACAATATGAGAGAATATGGGAAGTGGGGGGGGAAGACAAAACCCCAGAAAATATGGGAAAGTGTGGAAAATTCTGTTATCTGTGTGTATTTACTTGTGTGCCCCAGGGCCCCTTCAGAAAAGTCGCGCGGGAAGCCGCGCGTCGAAGAATTTGTAGAAATCCGGGGCCTGGAGGCCTTCAGTAGCTCTTGCAATCGTGAGTAATGAGTATTCAAAGGGACTTGCGGACACTCCGCTCAGTGGCTCGTCGCAGGGTTGCGCAAATTCGTCGCTGCCACGGAGGCGGTAGCTCGATGCTCCGTAATATGAATTGCGCTCAGGATTTCAAAGGGCAAGGTTCACGCTCACCGCTGAACGGCAGATGAGTGTGGGTTTGGCTTCGGTACGATAGAATTTTGAACGTGGCCAGCGTGGCATAGTTAGGAGTTTTTTTTGGTTTTCTGGTTGCACCGATGTTGCATCATGGTTTTCGGTTTCGGTATGCGGCATTGCTGGAGGAGGATCAGACACGCGGCTCGGACGATGAACGATTTGCATGAGGATATTGTCCGCCGATCTGTTGTAAACGGCATATGCTATGCCAAGCGTTGGATTGTTCTAGTCATGTCTATTCTAGTTGGGTTGGATGCGGTTCCGTCCGTTGGCATGCTGAAGCGGGATATCTGGGAACCCGTCGGGGAGTGCAGGGTTGGCGCCAACATTGCGCACAACCAGGAACGCTTACGGCGACGAGTTGCTCAATGGTTTCATTCGTCTGGCTACTTGAAGTATGTTGCAAGCGTGGTTGGAATGTCGAAATGTCCATGCACTGCGCCAGTATGTTGTACGAGATAGATGGGGTATTCGATGTACTGCCACTGTCACGGTGTCCACGAGTTGTGCCATTGATGCATTTGCTGCGGGTGCTTCTTTGCATGGCTATATATATACATGTGTATGTATATGTATGTAACTACATATATACAGACACAAACAATTATATTCGTACATGTTTCAAAGCATCGTGACGACATGCCAACATCCAGAGCACCAGTGTCTTCAGCTGGAGGCACAGCGAGTACGTGCATATGCCGTTGGTTATGTGATAAGCCGCCGTCTCGAGTGGTAAGGAGGGTTTATGGGATGGGTTCGGCGTTCGGTTTGCAAATGGCTGCGCGTCGGCTGGGCAATACATATATTGTTATGCTTCGTTATAAGGTTTGTCACTGACTGCACATGTAGTGTTAGACATCGTATGTATGACCTAGCTCGTATAAATACCCTGTCTGTGCAGTATTATTTACGAGCTCACCTGCGCAGTCGCAGTAGTCACATTATTCAAGTTGTGACCGTACTTCTGATTCGATTAGCCCGCCTAACGAGTCAAATTACGGAGTTATTTTACAATTTTACAAGTAACGATCAAATGTTGTCCAACTCTTTCAACGCCGCACTGCATATCTTCATCGTTCAGCTCGTCGAACCCACCCAAGCATCGAATGAATCGAACACCTATGTTGGCCCCTCCGTATACTCGAATTCTAGTGTCGCTTCCAATCGCCTACCATTATAACCAGCATGGCCCATCTGCACGTTCTAAATCATAAACCTGATAATTCACCTGCAACCTTTTTTAACATGTTCGGCCATTCGAACATACACGAATATGATCACGTGCTGTGTTGCTTCATCATTGTGTACAGTGGGGTCTTGTACATTATACATATAATGGCGCACCGGGTCCGGGGGCCCGGGGCCGGGACCCCGACCACAAATGTGGGCTCCGGGGGGCCCGGAGGCTCGTCGGACCGCCGGACGCCGTCCAAGATCGTTCGCAGGCGGCTTCGGAACGCGCTCCGATGGCTCCAGATGCCTTCCAAGACGCCTGTCATGACACCAAGAAGGTCCCAGAAGCCTCCAAGACGCTCCGAGAGGCAGCCCAAGAGAGGCCCAAGAAGCAAAAATCGTGCCATTCCTATGGGAAAACGTATATTTTTCGCATGTTCGCCTCTTGGGCTTTCACCGCGTCCAAGACGGCCCCCAAGCAGGCGCCCAAGACGGAGCTTTCCAAGGACCCACACCGCGAGGGCCCCCAACCCCCCCAAGAGGCCCCAGAGGCGCCCAAGATTGAGGGGGACCACGAACCGCAAGCTCGAGCCTTCCGCCCCAAGAGGCCGCCAGGAGGCCCCAAGGAGGCCCCTCAAGAGGCCCCAGGAGACCCCCAAGAGGCCCAAAGGAGGCCCCGAGAAGCCCCAAATCGGCCCCCAAAATGCTTCGAACCTGCTTCCAGCAGGCCCCCGACAGGTTCAGAGGCTCCCGAGAAGCTACGTCAAACTCCCAGCGAGCGGCCGGACGAGGCCCCCCACAAAATCACAAGAGGCTTCCAGTATGTGTATCCTTCAGCGCTCTCTGGCCTTCTTCCCCCTGCCCCCTTCCCTGCGACTTTCGTTGACTCAAGCTCGCCTCCTAGCTAGAACCTAAGCGCGCGCGAAGCGCGCGCGTGGTTCTAGTGCACATATGTATATATACATAAATAAATACATACATACATACATACATACATACATACATACATACCTATACATATACATATACATATACATATACATATACATATATACATATGTATCCATATACGTACAGATAAGTGCGCTCACGCCTCCAGAACTACTCAGATGTGTAGATATGCCGTCACCCACGGAGGCACGAAGCAGCCGCGAGCCGAGCACATGGGACAACGACAGGATGGAATCAAATCGGACGGGTCGACCGACCATCTGGGCAACCGCGCAAGGAAACCGCAGGATAAGTTTGGCCGTCAGGTTTGCATAACCTCTGACCCGTCTCACTTGTCTGACTCGTCCAACTGGCAGAGCGTCCTAGGAATATCAGAGGCGATGTGATTCGCCTCCGTAGGCCACTTGTTCGGACGGCCCCTCCAGCTCGAGCTACCTCGTCATGTCACCACCCCCTTGAACCACACTGCAGCCACGGGGCAACTGGCGGGGCAGCTGTGCGCAGCGGCGCGGCGAGCGGCGCCACCAGAGTGCACGGCTGGGCGAGGGCAGCCGTAGGACAGCCACGGGCCAGCAATGGGATATCGAGGAGAGGACAACCGAGGAACCATTCGGCGGGCGCGCGGGACAGCCACCGCACGGCGGCGGGGACATTTGCCTGGCATCGCTCGGACGTGTGTATCTTTTTTTCTCGGCGAGGACCCTTGAGGAACATCCTGGACCATCGAGCGAAAAAAAACACGAAACTGACAAATGCACTGGAAATGGACGTCCGAGCGACGGCAAGTTTGTGCTGAAACATATCTTATTTTGAGTGGACACCGCGCAGCCTCACCACCTCGCACACACACGACTCCAGCCGAAACCGCAAATTCAGTCTCGGGCGGGGGGGGCACTGCGCGGAGCTCCAATCGTATGCATGCCCGTGCGCAACCGCGAGCCAGATCCCCACGGCTGTGGATTTTCCCTTTCGGGCGTTCAGTTTGTACTTGTCCCAGCCTGGTGTTAATCTTCGAAGGAGAACACCTGCATACACGCCTGTTTGAAGGACCGCGTGGATTTCTCGGATGGGTGTTGGGCCCTCCGTGGCGGCGTCTCCGGCACCGCCCGTGGCCTTTTCCGCGCGCCAGAGGGAGGGAAGTCCATCGCCGATTCCAGGAAATCTGCGCGGACCTCCGAAATTTTATGTTCATGTCGTTGTTTGCTCTTCTTCCTTTCCTCTCTCGCCCCCGTCTGTTTTTTCTTGTTTCGCCAACGACCCCCAGCGAGAGGAGCAGCTGGCCCGACAGCCGCGGCACTGCCAGCGGCAGCCCCAGCACTGGCACTCCCGGCGCCAGCACCAGGAGCGGGCAAGCGCTCGGGCGTCCTAGCGGCTTGTTGGTACAAGGTCCTGGACACATCCTGGTAAGATAGTGGCAAGTTCGTGGCAGGGCCACGAAATGGGCTTGCGAAGCTCATGCTGCGAGATCCTGTGAAGGTTGTGGCGCGGTCCTGGTGAAGTCTTGGTCAAGACCCGGGGAGGTCCTCATAGGGTCTCGAGCCAGCGCTGAGGCGAGAGAAGAGTCATTCCGAGCATGGAAGTGTCCAGAGCTTGGGCGCGAGCCAGTCCAAGTGAAGCAAAGACCTCCCGTGCAAACCGTGCGGGCGGCAACCAAACGGCAGTCCAAGACAGAACCATGCTGGAACCAGAAGACCGTCCCAGCGGGGACCACGCAAAGCACCATCTGCGACTCCCGTCAGGGCCCTATGCACCTGACGTGTCGCAGGCACGTGAGAACATCCAAGTGCCCACGCCCGCAGATCAATCTTCGACTTCCGTTGGGGCCTTGTGCACCCGACGTGCGCAGGCATGTGAAAATATTCAACCACCCACGCCCCCAGAGCACGTATGCCCAGACATGCGACGCCCTGTTTTTTTCAATACGGGGTCCCTGGAAGTCCCGACCCTTTCCCTGGGATCGGCTTTTCACCCTGATTCGTTGGTTGACGGTCCGGAGGCCCGGCAAGGGCTTCCGAGGCCGAGCACTGGCCAAAACCTCCCGTCTTGTTGTTTTGTTTTACGACGCGAGCATGTGTGGGTACGCACACGCGTAGTCCTCTCAAGCAGTGAGGCACCAGGGCTGCTGGCACGGGCCCGCCCGTCGCCCTCACATCCTTGGAGGAGAAGGAGGAGGAGGCGTCGGCGGAGGAGGGGGAAGAAAAGGAGGAAAAGGAGGAGGAGGAGGAGGAGGAAAAGGAGGAGGAAAAGGAGGAGGAGGAGGAGGAGGAGGAGGAGGAGGAGGGGGAGGAGGAGCTCCCGGGGAAAAGCCCCGTGCTGGCGAGGGCTCCCACCGTCGACCTTCGGGGCCCCGCCCCCCGGGGCCGCGTGCTGGGTGGGGCGTGGCCAGCGCCTCGTCGGGCCGCGTGGTGGTGAGCTGTTTCTGGTAGAGGGCAGAAGGTCCACCCCCCTACCCAGACATGATCGCGTCGTTGAATCATGAATGACAAGTTTTTGGCGGCGTTCGGGTTCGGGGGGCCTTCGCCGGGCCTCGGGACCGTCAAGCAACGACTCGGGATGAAAAAGCGGTCCCCGGGAAAGGGTCGGGACTTCCAGGGACCCCGCATTGAAATTATCCTGGGGAAGGACCCAACCATATGCAGTTGTGAATACCGCAACTGCGGAGCTCCCTATGTGGCCACAACACGCGTGAGGGGTGTGCCAAAATAGGGCGGCGCCGCCATGCGGGCTGCGCCACTTGGACCCTAGGTGGAGCTCCCTATGGGGCCGCGAAGCGCGTGAGGGGTGTGCTGGAATCGGGCGGCGGCGCCATGCGGGCTGCGCCACTGGGACCTGGAGTGGAGCTCCCTATGGGGCCACGAAGCGTGTGAGCGGTGTGCCAAAGTGGAGCGGCGGCGCCATGCGGGCTGCGCCATTGGGACCTGAGGTGGAGCTCCCTGTGGGGCCACGGAACGTGTGAGGGTTGTGCCACAATGGAGCGGCGGCGCCATGCGGGCTGCGCCGCTGGGATCTTAGGTGGAGCGAAGCCACGAAACGCGCGAGGAGTGTGCCAGAATGGGGCGGCGGCGCCATGCGGGCTGCGCCACTGGGACCTTAGGTGGAGCTCCGTATGGGACCACGAAACGCATGAGGGGTGTGCCCGAATGGGGCGGCGCCGCCATGCGGGGTGCGCCACTGGGACCCTAGATGGAGCTCCCTATGGGGCCACGAAGCGTGTGAACGGTGTGCCAAAATGGGGCGGCGGCGCCATGCGGGCTGCGCCATTGGGACCTGAAGTGGAGCTCCCTTTGGGCCACGAAACGCGTGAGGGGTGTCAAAAAGGGGCTGCGGCGCCATGCGGGGTGGGCCACTGGGACCTTAGGTAGAGCTCCCTGTGGGGCCACGAAGCGTGTGAGGGGTGTGCAGAAACAGAGACATGCGGGGAGCAAAGGCAAGGAGGGGGAGGAGGAGGATGAGGAGGAGGAGGAGGGGGAGGAGGAGGAGGAGGAGGAGGAGGAGGAGGAGGAGGAGGAGGAAGGAAGGTGGAGGAAAACGCGGGGCACAGTCTCTTCAAAACGAGGACCCAACACCACAGGATGGTTAGGAAAAAGCAGGACGTCGCATGCCTGGGTAAAGGGCAAATAATCCCCACCACCTAAATAACCACCCCGACGCGCGCAGCCGTTTTGTCAGTATACACACCCACAGAAGGAACCGAACAGGGCAGGGCTAATTAGTAAACACTAAAGGCCGCGTAATCAACACACACTATCGGGTCCGAATGGTTTTTCCTGCTTTGATTCGGCCCGCCTCCCCTGGAGGTCCGGCGCCGCGGCCACAGCGAAACGGCCGGCTTGTAGCCGTTGCCGGCCTCCAGGAGGAAGGACCGACTGGTGTCGGGGTTCGGGGTAATCCAAAAGCGACCAAGGACGAAAAAATCAGCCCTGGGGAGATTGTTAAGAAAGGCCTGGTGGCACTCGCATCGAGAACAGCTCGGAGCGCCGGATGTTTCCCGCCCGTCTCATGAACGCAAACGAAACGGTGACCATGGCAAAGGCTGAACGGTGAGCCGTCGGTGTCGATCTTGGTCACCGTCAACTCGTGAATCATCCTCGCGACTCGGCGAAGGCCAGCATGGACCACGACCAAGACCTGCGACGACACGATCCCGCGACATTTTGGTCACGGTCATCGTGTTTCTTTCGGGCGTTGGATTGGGTGTTGTGGGGCCTGGTTTAGTGATGTGTATTGGGGGACACCCCCACGCCCCATTCCACTAAACGGAACTGCAGCCACTCGGAGAAACACCAGCCATGGCAGACCGAGCCTAGCGATTCCAATCCATATTTAGGGCTTCGGGGCCCAATCACTTACCCGGCTCTCCTTAACCAGGGTTTTGGCTATATCCGATTCCTCTCTCGACATCAGCCTTTACTGGATCCCGAACGAGACCGTGTCATGACCGCACCAGCATTGCTACCTGGTTTTGCCAGATGCCTGATCGGACTCCGCTCACAATTCCTCTCTACTTTATCTCCACACCAGCATGACCATACCATGACCCGGTTGGCGCCACGCCAGGGTGTACTGTAGGGCCTTACGAGGATTCCTCCCGGGCTTTAGTAGTTGCAACCGATGGTATTAGGATGGTTTGCTTTGACGACAAGAGTCCCAGGACCTCTTGAAATAATCGGGCACAACTAGGCAGTCCTCGGGGCTTTGTTGGAGCCCCCTTGATTTGTCCTATGGGGGTATTTGGTCAGCTTAGGGCTGCTTGAGGGTCTTATGTGCGGTTACTCATGGAGTTCGGATTACACGTTCCGCATTTTACATATTGCACCGTCGGGGCGCTAGAAGTACATTGTGCACCGTGCAAGGACAAGAGGATTCTGGAAGCCATATTCAAACAAGAAGCAGAACAAGCAACGGTCCCCGAACAAGTGTAAATGTTCCATTCGGTTTGCCTCTGGAGGCTGCTCCGCGAGGGGGCGGGCCGGGCGGGGCCCGGGAGGAAATCCGATGGAACGCAGGGGAGAGGCGGGCGGGCGAAAAGAAGGAGGCCGAAGGTTCTGGCGGTTGCCGTCAAGTCGCCATGTTATCCCGTGCCTTGGATATAGATTGTTGGCATTTGCTGGTTTCTTCCTCGGAGTAGGACGAGGAGGAGGAGGAGGAGGAGGAGGAGGAGGAGGAGGAGGAGGAGGAAAAAGAGGAGGAGGAAGAGGAGGAGGAGGAAGAAGAAGAGGAGGAGGAGGAGGAAGAGGAGGAGGAGAAGGAGGAGGAGGAAATTTGAAAAGGAGGACGAGGCCCTCCTCCTCCTCCGCGGCCGTCTTACGTCATTCCACCCGCCCTTGTGCGCTCGGTGTCCGGCGCGGCCCGTCGGCTCTGCAGTCGCGCCTGCGTCCGCCGGCGCCACGAAGCCAACCAAGTCTCTTCTTCGCCCACCGCGGCCAAGAGCCAGCATCACCCGACAGCCTACAGGGGCTTTTTTTTTTCGCAACAAAAAACACAATTCGTCGAAAATCCCGTCTATATGGGGCACGCGCCCGACATAAGAATATAGAGGCCTCTTAGATCGGGTCGGAATACATGGGGCCGGAAGAACTCGCCGCACCGCCGATGCATCGGCGATGCGCTGGCGACGTCGGCGATGCGTCGGCGACGTCGGCCCCCCCGTCGGTGGAGGGAGTGTCGGCGGCGAACGACGGGAGGGGGAAGTTCCGGCTTCAAGGTTCGAGGTTTTCGGACGTCTTCGTGGGCTTAGTGGGCCCTGGAAACGGCAGGGCCGGTATTTTACCCGTTCTGCCGTTTTTGTTGCCGGTTCCGACGCCGTTGTTTTCCCAGTTCCGTCGCCGTTTTGTGACCGGTTCCGGCTCCGGTTCCAATCCTGGAGCCGTTTTTGTTGCCGTTTCCGGTCGCCGTTTTTTTGCCGTTTCCATGTTCAAGGGACATTTTCAGGAAACGGTGAAAAAACGGCCCTGCCGCTTCGGGGGCCCACGCAGCCCTTGCCCCCCTCGCCAGATGCTCCAGGGGCGTGCCGGAAAGAGCTGACGGTGGCACTCTCGGCGGCGAGCCCGGGTGGGAAATGAGAACGGGCGGGCCTTCCCAGAAGTCTCGGACCTCTCCTGGCCCCCGAGAAGTTTCCTGAGCCTTCCCCGAAGACACGGAACACTTTTTCCAGAAGGCCAGAGGGCTTTTGAGACACCCCGCCGCCTTTGCGAAGGCATTATGCTTCTCGCTTCCCCCCTCGCTCGCCGCCGAATTTGGTTTTCGGTCCGGCGGCTGTTCGGGACGATCCCGGCAGCCCCTGGGACGCTCTCGCCGAGGTGGCGCAGCCGCTGGAACGCGTCCCGAGGTTGGAAGACCGTC